TTTGAAAGAAATGAAAAAAAAAATTAAAGCATAAATTAAAATTAACGAAGACATTCTTTTCCCCTCTCTTTCAAATTTTTTGTTAATTAATTAAGGGTGTTAATATATAGACAATTTTTTAGTTTTATTTTTTTATATAACTTTTACATATTATTAAATGAGTAGATACATTTAATATCACGAGTTTTAAATGAATAAAAGAAATAAAATATTTACATGATATATAAGATTGTAAAAAAAATTATTCATAAATCATTTTTCATTAATTAAATAAAAAAAAATTTCAACCTTTCTTTCTTGTCTCTTTTGGGCAAGCCAAACATATTATAAATGCACAAATGAGAAAAAATTTCCTCCGCTTATTACATTCTAATAATCAAATCAGTTGGGCTAACAATTAATGGCAAAGAAAGAAATGCAAGAATGTTAATGTAAGCCAGCTATGATTTTATGGACTGGCAGAAACCTTTCGCCATTTCAATCTTACCTCAGAAACGCGTTCGTAGAAAATGATGTGATTCTGATATCTACATTTCGTGAGAAATGCCCAATTGATTTCATGTTCATTAGCTGTCAAGAGACACAAAGTCAAAACCCTTGCATGCATTATATTCTCAACCACTTCAACAACATCCATCATCTCCACACTTTATATAGCCTCCTTCCGCCATGGCCATGCGCTCCTTGTTAATATAACACATTCACTTTCCCTTCTATTTTCGTTCCATGCAAAATCAATCCAAATCTCTCTAACCAAACATGAATATTTCCCAAATGATACCCGTTTTTGTGTTAATCAACGTCTTGGTTTTGGTATCTGCCAGTGACTTCAACCAAGATTTTGACATAACATGGGGAGACGGCCGTGCCAAGATTCTCAACAACGGCCAGCTCCTCACCCTTTCCCTTGACAAAACCTCTGGCTCGGGGTTTCAATCAAAGAAACAATACTTGTTCGGAAAAATTGACATGCAGCTAAAACTTGTGCCTGGCAATTCTGCAGGAACCGTGACAGCATACTATGTAAGTTAGTTAATTAATTCTTTAATTACTTAGTTTTTAACCATGGTTTTTTTTTTAATTCTCTAAGGTTACGTTAATGAACATTTGTAATTTATATATTGATTTTGCATGCAGTTGTCTTCAGTGGGGAATGCACATGATGAAATCGACTTTGAATTTCTTGGTAACCTAAGTGGAGACCCTTATATCCTCCACACAAATGTATTCACACAAGGGAAGGGAAATAGAGAGCAACAATTCTATCTTTGGTTTGACCCTACCAAAGACTTCCACACCTACTCTGTCCTATGGAATCCTCAAACCATCATGTAAGTTTTCGTCGCATGCAGCAATAATTTGGTTTGACAATTGTAACTTTTGCAAAAGTGTGTGTTTTAAGAAAATATTAATTTTGTCTTTTGAAGTTTTATTAAAAATGAGACGAAATAAGTATTAAATTATTTTAAGATTGCCTTAGGAGCAAGCTAACGATTTATTCTCCTTGTAGTTTCTACGTGGATGAAACTCCAATAAGAGAGTTCAAGAATTTAGAATCAAAAGGCATCCTTTTCCCCAAGAGCCAACCCATGTGGATATACTCCAGCCTCTGGAACGCAGATGATTGGGCGACCCGTGGTGGCCTTGTCAAGACAGATTGGAGCCAAGCACCATTCACTGCGTCCTATCAGAACTTCAGTGCCCAAGCTTGCACTTGGACTTCAAGTTCATCCTCTTGCTCTTCAAATTCATCCCAGAATTCCTGGATGAGGCAATCCCTGGACAGCACAGGCCAAGCCAGAATACAATGGGTGCAAAAGAACTACATGATCTACAACTATTGTACTGACACCAAGCGTTTCCCTCAAGGACTCCCACCTGAATGCTCTCAATCTTAATTAAACCAATTTCTTTTTTTGTGACACTAGTCAAGTGTGTTGTATTAATCCAAATCCGGTATGTTTAATTAAACCAAATTTTATGTAGAGGAGTTCAATAATTTAGTTGTAATTTAGTCCAATAATAAAAATGTAGAAAGCAAATTTGATAATTTCATGGTAATTCGGTTGACTCCGTCAACTGAAATGATCTTTTACGTTAAAATTGATGACTGGAATTAATGAAAACAGACACATTACAGAGAAATGACATTGGTCATTTTGACTTCGGTATGATCAATATTGAACTTCGGATCCAAAGCAATTTTGCCAAGTCGGAGAAGACTTCCGGTGGTCAGAATTGCCCTGGGATCAATATCATGAATGGACCTGGCGTAGAGGCTCCTAATTGCTGCATGGGAAGCATCGAACAGGGCCATGTCCCTGTGAGGACCAAGAAGGCAATGTCCCAGGATCCTCAGAACAGGCTGCAGAAGTTCCCATGGCAACGGAATTCTCCCTTCCTTGAACCCCGCTTTCGTCTCTTTCTCCCCATCTTCATCTCCTTGTTTGACTTCGTCGTCCCTGTACATGCTACCATCTTGACCGGCCCAGATTTCACAATGCTCGCAGAAATCGATTTTGGACCTTACTGGCATCTGGGAAATCTTGCTGTAATACAATTCCAGGGCTACCCCAACAATTTTAGCCCTTTGCGTGGATCTCACGGTCCTGTGGGGGTCCAGAGTCGGGGAGATTATAGCGACGTTGAATTCCGTTGCATTGTTTTTTGCGGTAGGTTTTGCTTCGTGGTAAATACTCGGATGTGATAAATCCGGGATGTTTACAGTGATTGATTGGCCATTACGAGACGTGGTTTCATGGGAGTAAATCGCTAATAAAACAGCCTCAAAGCCGGATAGGGTTTTCCGGAGCGGGACGCGGGAGAGGTAGACTCCAGCAATGATGGGGAGGAAGCGGAGGACGACGAGCTGGAGGGCAGGATCGGAGGTTTGGAAGGTGTCGTAGAGCCAGCGACAGACGTTATTATCGACGGTTCCGGAGTCGGGGTGGCGGAGGAGGTCTGAGATTTGGGAGGAGATATCGGGGTCGTGGAGGAGCGCGAAGGGATCGGGGGAGGAGGAGAGGTAACGAGGGATGGAGGTGAGGATAGGATTAAGGGAGTGGATGGCTGCTTGCGTTTTGGCAATGGAATCGGCCGATGGAACTTCGGTACTGGAGGTCTGTGACGAAGCGGCGTCCGTCGGAGATGCGGAAGCGGAAGAAGGTGAAGAGGAAGGATCAGACATTGTTCGAGAAAACAGAGATGAGGAGAGAAACAGAGGAAATCCGTTACATATCAATTGTTATTAGGAGAAAAGCGAGGAGGAAAATTAGGATCAGATATTTTACTCGTGAATTTAGATGGTGAAAAAC